CTTTTCATTGTATAGAGTTGCAGTCTATACTGAAACCACATGCCCCCAGAAACTCTATGAACTTTGGTAAATGACGATGGTTGTAGAGGGGCTTCAGGTCTTTGGTTCATGGGGTCGCTGTGAGTCGTGCTCGAATCATAATGAACAACTGAAGACTTGTCTTTAGTCTTCATTATTAACTGCTTCAAATAATATTCCCTTTTAGCAAGCAAAGTTGTGTCATCTGCATGTTGCCTGATGCGTCTTCTTCCAGTCCTACTGCTTTGTTTTTTTATATAGTTCAGCTTCTCAGATTGTTTGCTTAGCATCCAGACTGAGTAAGTATGGTGGGTAGATACACCTATGATTGGAACTCATTCCATACTACATTGTTCTTTTAGAACAACTGCGTCTGGTCTGTGTAGAGGTGGTTCATGTACACAATTAAGTGTTCTAAACTTCCCATTCTTCATAGTGTTATCTGTCATTTGTTCAGATCCATGAATGGAGTACCTTCATTATTTATTTTGCCTGCTTTCTATCTTTCTGGAAGAAAATAAATCTAATTTTCAGTTTCTAGTTTTGGTGGTGGTTTTAGAGTATAGTAACTGTTGGGTTAGTGTCAAATCTATAGATTATTTTCTTTTCCAATTTACTATCCTTTTTGTTTTGTTACCAGTTTTCAAACTCTCACTGACCACCTCTTTCCATTTTGAAACTCTTCTCATTGGTGTTACTGTTTTATTATTTTACCCCTTTTCTCTCTAATGCTTTGACTCTTCTCCAAGCATATGAAAATATGTTTTCTTCTAACCTCTAATATTGACTGGTATCTCCATCCTAATTCATGTGGTCTCAGGGTTTCAGCTCACATGAGGGACTGTTAGGGGATGTATCATCTTCAGCCCTGATTTCTCTTACATGCGTATGTCCTGCCCGTCTAATGACCCCTAACGGTTGTTCCCTAAATAACATATTATGTTTCAAACTTACTGTGTTCTAGACTATTTTTCTTCCCCAAACTGATTCACTTTTTTGAGGTCGACAGATTTTTTAGTTTTAATTAGATCAGCGTGTAGTTTGCATTATTGTGATTTGTCACAGTTGCACCATGCAGCATAATGAGTTAGTCTTTTCCCTTTTTCATGAAACTTTTTTTTTGTTATTTACAGTGTTGTTTTTATTTGCTTCATTTCCCCCAGTGATTACTAAGTCATCTTCAGATTGTTGTTTGTCTAAGCCTCTTCTTATTCAAACTTAACCATGTGTCTGATAAATGTATTTGCTGGGCAATTACTTTGTGTTGGAGCCTTTGTCTTGTTCTGTTCTGATAGGTGCTGCCCTTTTCATGTCCAGGTACCTTCCATGATCTCCTTTACTTCATCCTGGGAATTGCTTTTCATTTTTTCTTAACTCCTGCTTAATGGATTTCTTATCCTTTTCTCTTACTCTTTCAGCTTTATGTGGCATTTCCTCTGATTTCCTAAGAAAGTATATCTAGTAAGTCAATTTTTGAGACCTTGTCTAAAAGTGTTTTCTTCTAACTTGAATATGTAATTCTTCCCCTGCCTCCTAATATACCTTTGTTTCTTTTTTATTGTACTTGGCATCTTGTGGTTATTTTTGTTTTGGAAATGGAAATACTTTGTGGTGATTTACCTGAATGATTTAATTTTTACTTTTTTTTTTAAAAAATTAAATCATGTTTTTTGCTTTCCCCTCCTTTATCCTGCTCTTTGTCTGCTTACTTTACTTTCTGGAAGAATTCTTTAACATCATTTTCTAACCTTGCTCCTATGTTTTTAGTTTTTTGCTTTCATATTTTCAAGAAGTATATAGTTTAAATACCTATTCTTACTATGCATTCCCTTGTATCATATGTAGGAACCGTCAGCAGTTCTACAAAGTAAAGAGGGGTATCACATCCTGTGTGATTTTACAGATTTAGAAACCCAGTGGAGAGTAACCTATGAGTTGGTTCTAACTTGACAACGAGAGAGAAATTTATGTATATAGTATTTTTTAAACTTGTTTTCTATATGTGTTAGAAATATTTCTCAGCTGTCTCATCCGTGACTTTTTGCCCCTTATCAAGTTTGCAGCACCAAAACGTTGATTGGGAATTGTAAACTTGTTTATTGTCATTTTCTGATCATGTTATTTGACGATGAAGTTTTCAGAGTGAACTCCTTATATCAGACTCTTTAGGTGTTTTGTCTAGATCTGGCTCTCAAGATGTGTTTTGAGAAGAATTTTCAGTCTTCTTCCTATAGGGTATAAGTCTGGCAAGTTCATGGACTGTGTCTAGCAATGTATGTAGATATATTTAGTTTTAAAACAGGCTTTCTTTTATTTTCTTTCTAATCGAGGTGTGAAAAAGTTTTAGGTTCGGTTGAAGTTCCTGATGAAGAAACACAATTGAGATTTTTTCAGTGATAAAATCTGCATATTTGTATTTCAAACAATGTAGCTAAAACTTGATGTAAATTCCTCCTTTTTTTCCTTTCTTGGCTTAATGAATATCATTTATTCAGTATGAAATCTTTATACTATATGTTCCACGTGTTAAGAATAAATGTACATTAAATCTTAAGAAAAAAAAACCAAACAGGCTTTCTTTTAATTTCTCTATTTTGACTGTGGTAGTACTCATCTCAATACTCAACGGTGTTGGGTATGGAGTCAGTTTCTTTTCTCCATCGAGGGCAGGCACATAGCAGAACCTGACTGTGCATGGAGGTAAGGGAGATTTTCGTGGACTACTGTCATTCCCTCTTATTTAGTCCCACCTTCAAAAAGTGTCAACACTCTATAAGCCTACTAGAAATTTTATGGTGTGAGTCGGGTTACATCAGCCAGATAGAACTAGTTTTGCTGTCTTTGCTTTCATATTCAGCATTTTAGCTTATATGTTCCCTTACCTTAGAACTCGAGGCCCTAGACAGTTTCTCCTGCGGTTTGCTGTTGAAGTCCTGCAGGTCTGAAGTTGGTCTTAGTCTTATCTTTAGAGTGTAAAGGGATTACCTCAGTCGTACGGTGTTCTTTCAAGCATGCAGCCTGAGTGCAGCATTCCCACAGTGCTCCATCTTTTCCTCTCATCTCACTCATTTCACGTCTTGTATCAGAGTCATTTGTGTCTTTCTTGCTGCGTTTACTGATTTGTAAGCTTCAGGAGGGCAATATGTATATCTGATTAAATGATATATCCTAAAAGTGACGAGAATAGTGTTTTATAGATGTGTTCAAGATGCTAAAGCCTTGCTCTGTTCCCTTCAAATCAGATTTAAGACTATTCAGATCAACTCAGAAAAATTTCTCCAAGTCTTCATTTGTCTGGGACAGGGTTTTGACTTTTATACTCAAGTCTAAGTATCAAAATGTGATTGTACGACACAGAGGCAGAGCACTAGCAGCAGGGGACAGACTTTATTGCACTCTTGGTGAGAACTGCCAGTGTTTGTGGCTGGTTTCCCACAGTGCTGTTAAGCCTGTGTACTTGTCTGGTTTCCACTGATACAGTGACATGTAGTAAGCCGAGGTCCTGCAGAAATGATGCTGAATAACAGCATGTCAAGGTCAGAGCCTCCTGAGGAGTTGACCTCCTGAGTGGGTGAAGTCCTGTAAAATTCTTTTCTGCCCAAAGGGGCTCAGATTTTTGAAACATTTTGTGGATTACCACATTTATCATAATCTGTTTTTCAGGCTTCAGTGATAGCTGTTTTTAAATGCAAATTTTATTTAAAAATTGCCATTTGCCGTATAGGTGCCCATGAGCTCTAGATATAGAGCAATGAAGTGCTTAAAATATAACTCTTATATCAGTTTACTTGGTTCCTGAGTATGTGAGATTTCATCACTGCTACATTAGAACCTGAAGCCAGGGCTTCACTGGGTCCATGAGTGGAGGAAGCAGTTTAAGCAGATATAATGAGATTAGGTACTGTTCATTGTCTTTCTCTTTCTGAAATTCAGGTTTGGTTGTTTTGTTTTCACATTGAGAGAAACAGCTATTGTGTTGATGTGAGTGAAGCTGAAGCCGTTAGCATTAGAAATGCTGGGTTTTTGTTTTGCCTGAGCGTTGGGGAAGGCTGGTTTTGTGCCTGCTGTCTCTTTCACTTTATCTAGTGTATCCACCATTATTGCAGTGGAAAGGTTATGATTCTGGCCATATTTCGTAGTGTGGATAATATTTTCTCTAAACTCAAGAGAGATTTTTAAACGAGGCTAGCAAAACGAGTCTGGTTTAATCTGAGTGCAGTGCTTGGAAAAGTGAGTAAAACCTGAGAAACATTTTTTTTTTGGTTTTTGGCTAAGCCTTGGTCTGGCATGACAGCAATCAGCACACCTTGAAATGGGGACATTGCGCAACATCCAGAAGAGTGAAGGTTTCTGAAAGGCCTGTGTCTTTCATGCTGTTTGAGTGACCCTGCTAAGTGAGTGAGGTTTGGGGTATATTGTATCCCATTCCTTAGGATTCAGTTGGCTTTTGAGTCCCACCAAATATCTAGAGGGTTTTGCTTCTGCTATTTTGTATTTTCAGGAAGGTCTTTATGTCTCTGGGTACTGTGCTAGGATATAATTCTTTAATTCTGCTCTGCATACACTAGCTGTTAAGCTGACATGTGGTCAGCACAGCAGAGGGCAGCAGTGGTAAATTATAGATCTCTTTAGCTCATCTTAAACCTTCCTTTCATAGCAAGTCCTTAGTATTAAGGCTTAATCTTAACTCTCTTTGCTGTCCCTTCAAGGCTCATTCATATTGTATTTGATTTTACATCCTGCATTTTGGGCAGTGCTTTTAAATTTTTTCTTTTTAGGAAGATGATGAAAATGGTATACTTTAATAAAAGTCAATAAGCAGCCAAGAATAGGTAATAATAATTTGTTGGGTAAAATTAATCTGCATAACATTTAATGTAGGTGCAGTTGTAGAGGTATCATGCAAAATGAAAATAAGACAAAACTAAAAAAAAAAACAAACCCAAAAAAACCCAACAAACCCTTATTATTTTTATTTGAAGCTTTGGGATGTGAAATCCGCAAATGAGAGAAGAAGCATTAATGTGAAGCAGTGCTTCCTGAATTCAGAGGAGTCTCAAGATGACATGGAAGTAATAGTGAAGTGTTGTTCCTGGTTTGCTGACGGTACCAGAATCATGGTGGCAGCCAAAAACAGAATCTTTGTAAGTACGGATGTTGTTAACACCTCAAACTTGCTCCAACTTAAAGAGAATGAAAACTTCTCTTGATTTTTGCATTTTATAGTGAGTGTCTAGCTGTATGATTTGGGCAAGTTTTTGATAACACACAGTTTTTTGGAACTAGGCCCCACGAGATATTTGTAAGTTTTCAGGAAAAAGTCTTTTGTTTTAAACAAAGATTTGGGAAATACATAATAATGCAGTAAAGACTCCAGAAAGTCTCACAATAAAAAATATTTTTTTTCATTGTTTGATTCAATGTTTCTGAAATATTTAAATATGAAATACTTTTTTATATATACACATCTCATGACTGATGTTTTGGTTTTTTTTCTTTTAACAGTTTGAAACCCATTGGGTTGGGTGATTTTTCCTTTTCATTTCATTTCTTTTCAGAGTGCTTTTATTCCTTAAAATTTTGTGAGTTGGTAACTGATAGAATCAGTGACTACCCAGGATTCTCAGAGCTCTGGTAGTAGTGGTAAAGAGTTGTGCTGCCAGCTCAAAGGCACACAGTTTGGATCTACCAGCTGCTTCATAGGAGAAAGATGAACAGTCTCCTCCCGTGCAGTTTACAGCCTCTGAAAACCCACTGGAGGGTCGGCTAAGAGTTGGTTCAGACTCAGAGGTACTTAACAAAAACAATAAGGATTGGGAGATTTTTTTGAAGTCATAAAGGAAGATATTCATTAATGTTAATGACAAAGAAATGCCTCTTCCCTCCCAACCTGCCAGAGAAGGTTGGACATTCTCCTGGGGATTTACTGCCTCTGAAAACCACTGGAGGGTCAGCTGTAGGTCAGTTCTGACTCCACTGCGTACAACTACAAACTAATAATGCAGGGAACACTGGTGGCTGTAATGAGTACAGAGCTGTGCTACCAGCCCAAAGGTGTGGAGCTCCAGTTCACCAGCTGCTCTGCAGGAGAAAGTTGAGCATTCTACTCCCCTGTGATTATAGCCTCTGGAAACCTGCTGGAAGTTTAGCTATTTTAATCACTTCAGACTCAGGGGCAGTGAGTTTGAGGTTTATTTTTAGTCTAAGATGGGCAGTCTCCTTCCATGCCATTAACTGCCTCTGAAAACCTATTGGAAGGTCAGCTATGAGTCGGTTCTGACTTGACCATACACAAAAACAACAATAATGACTTCCATTTGTGGTTTTCAGTATACTTTCACATGCATTTTCTTTTACTATCCAAATTTAAGGGACATAGCAGAATTGCATTAGTCTTAGGATGACAAGATGAAACTGAGGTTCAGAGGAGCCAAACCACTTTGCACTGTTACACTGTGCCTGGGAGGGCTAGCCAGGTCTTCTTATTCATGGTTCAATGACACTCTGTTCTAATAGTAATTTTTAAAAGACTTGAATCAGGAATATTACTATTTTAAAGAACATCAAAAATACGTATTTATAGTAAACTCATGGAGGTTCTGTGTATGCGATTGTTGTTTATCTGTTAGCTATGACCCTTGCATATGTGGAGCTCTGGGGACGTAGTCTGCAGGTAGTTGTGCTGCTAACCCAGTGGTTCCACAGAAGAAAGAAGGGCAGTCTTCTCTCATGTGATTTACAGCCCCTGAAAACCCGCTGGAGGGTCAGCTATGAGTTGGTTCTCACTTGACGGCAATGAGTTTTGTTTTTTTTTAAATTGAGATTTTAATGAAAGTTTATAGAGACTTGTATTTCCATTCATTCATTGTTGCACATTTTCCTCCCTACCACCCAGTTTGCTTTTCTCTTTGGGGAGAAAAAAAACATTCATTGTTGTTCAATTCCCTACCCCCACCTCAGTCCACTTTACTATGCAGCTCTTATTCTGTACTGTTATCATACAAGTAATACCTAATCACATATTCCTTTTAAGCAGTTCTTCTCTTCATCTCTTTCCAGGCAGTGTACATAATTTATCCCCTCTTAGTTTCCCTCCAACCCCCATGTCAGTCCTTTTTTATAGCAGTGACATTATGCAGTGTTTGTCCTTTTGTGACTGAGATATTTCACTCAGCATAATGTCCTGCAGGGTCACCCATTTTGAATAATATTTCATGAGTTCCTTGTTTTTCAATGCAGCATAGTATTCCATTGTGTGAATATACCACAGCTTCTCTATCCATTCGTTTGTTGATGGGCACTTGGGTTGTTTCCATCCCTTTGCTATTGTGAACTAAGCCACGATAAATATGGTGTGCATATATCTGCTTGGGTGGCAGTTCTGGTTTCTTTAGGGTATATACCCAAGTAGTAGAATTGTTGGGTGAAATGGTATTTCTGTTTCCAACTTTTTTGAGAAAGCACCATACTGCCTTCCGTAGTGGTGGTTGCACCATTTTCACTTCCACAAACATTGAATAAGAGTTCCAGTTATTCCATAACGTCGCCAGCATTTGCTGTTTGCTACTCTGTTGAATTTTGCTATTGTTACTGGGGTGAGAGTTTAGGAGTATTAAGTATAGGAGTATGTACCTCTTTAGCAGGAAATGAAGAGGGAAAACACAAGCTCTTGTTTTTAATTCTGTTAAAGTGTATGAGAAAGAAAAGGAGCCATTGCTTTTGCAGTATTTGAAGATTTCTAAAAACCTGTTTTTTAAAAGAGAGAAAAATAATTCTGTATTGCATGAAATGCCTTCCAGTTTTAAGAGTCTATAGAACAGCTTCCTGTTCAGTATTGAAATAGCTACCTGAGATCAACCTTCCCTCCATGCTGATTCCTGTTTCTTACTCTATGATCTCTCCATCCTCCTTTTCTTCTCTTTTTTTGTTAATGGTCTACCCCTCTTTTTAGTTAAGTCTTTTCTTTTTCTGCTCAAATAATTGAGACAACTTTCCATTCCATGTTTTTGCCATTTTCTTAGTCATAATTTTTAGGAATGGCCTGTCTGGGAAAGCATTTTAACTATGACTACTTGTCCTTTGCTTGCCCCTTCCCCTGGCAAATCCTCCACTGCTTACCATATGTGCATACTTGCAGGCCTTTACTTGTGTTAAATGCCTTTATGGATCCCGCCAGAAACTTTCCCCCCCTCTCCTTCCTAAAGACTGTGATTTGGCCATAAATTGATATACTCTGTAATGGTGCAGATGTTCTTTTTTTTTTTTTTTAAGGTGCAGATGTTCTTATCATTTGGGATAAATTTCAAAAGAGTGCATTTAAAAAATCTCTCAGCAATTCAAGTCTTGAAATACTCAAAAATAGCTTTTTAAAAAAAATTTAAAAATGGGAAAATAATTGTAGTGGAGTAATTTGGTAACTCTGGAAAGAAATGAGAATGATTGAGCTAATTTCATTTTAGCAAGCCTCTAGTCTATATTGTTTTCATCATCTTCATTTATAAGTATGCATTTTATCTTTTGAATAAATGAGTGTTAGAGAGAACTTATTCTGTTAGGTTTATTTCGTTTATTCGTTTATTCACAAAGGTTTTGTTTCTGTTTGGGCCATCTTAAAAGACCATCTGTGATAAATTTCCATTTATTAAAAACTGATTCAAGACTAATATTGTTTA